ATAAAGTCCATGCCGAAAATGCCGATGCCGGGGTCGTACTTGATGCCGAGGTCAATGTGCTCGTTGATGCCGAAGCCAAAGTTGCCCGTGTCGGAGAAGTTGCCGCGGCGCAGCTCGTACTCCTTGACCTTGAGGCCGCGCTCGATGATCTCCTCGGCCTTGGGGCCGCGGATGGTGACGTGGCAGGCGATCTTCTCGTTACGGCGGATACCGAAGCCACGGAGCGTGTAGCGGGCCTTGGAGGTGACGGGCGTCTGACCCGTCAGCTGCTCGAGGACCTTGGTGGCACGAGTAAGCCTGTCACCGGACTCTCCGACGGAGATGTTGATGACGAGCTTGTCGACCTTGAGCTCCTGCAGGGGTGGTCGAGGGGGGCGTAGAGGCAGAGAGGTCAGCGGGCGTCCCTTTGAGATGTCGAAAGGAGCGTCCCTCGCGCCGGTCGGGCGTCTCCCTTCGTTCGCCGTTTCCACCGCGCCGACCTGATGCGACCGCTGCGTCGTCGCGGTGCGGGCGAAGTGTTTGGCCATCTCCCGAGCCACCGAGCCCTCCTGCAACGCCCATCCTCCGCTGCGGCCTCGTCTTCAATCCGTCCTGACCGGTCTTCGTTGGCGTCAACGCCCGACGCCAGGCTGCATCGGCGGCGCTGCGTCGGTCCAAAGAGGCCTGTCGGGAGTGATTTGCACCTCTGTGGCCATCCACCAGGTCAAGCGATCCTTTCCGATCGATGCCTGGACGGTCCTCCAGGTCTCAGGAGAGCCCCTTGTCGCTCGGTGGGCCTCCCTCCGGACCGTCCGTCCAGGCCCAACGTTCCTCGATGTCCTCCAAAGCCGCTGATGCAACCGGCTGTCCTCGGTACGCCAATCTGTCATCACTAACCTTCATAGGGTTACTGAAAGCGCAGTAGGGGCGTACGTGGCAGGGAGACAGGTGGCGAGTCGGTCAGCGAGGGTGTCCGGGAGAACGGCAGGCGTCCTATGGTCGGATCGTATCGAGTCGATTCTGTTGCAGTTGTGGTCGCATTCGCAGTCGAGGTCGCGGTCGAGGTTGCAGTCGCGATCGCAGTCGCGATCGCAATCTGCGGTCGTCATGGTCGGATGCCAGCGCGGATCGTGCCGAGGTGGTGAATCGTCGTAGGAGCTTCCGGATGGTGTCGTCCGTCGTCGATCTGTTGGTCCGTCGCATCGGTCGCTACGGTGTATACTCACATCGCCTTGCTGGATTCCGCCATTGTTGCTGATGTCCGTCCGTCGGTTTGGTGGATATCGGAGGGTGGTCTTGACGATGCGGGATTCGAGATCGAGAGGGAGAGGAGAAGCCTTCTGGCTGCCCGCGGCCCCCCGCCCAGCCCAGCGAGCCAGCCAGCGCTTGCCCCTTCGTTCCGTTCGACGGCGGGCCCGGGCTGGGCCAGGCAAGGCCCACCGCCTAGCGCTCCCCCTGGCCCTCTAGCCTGACAGGCGCCCCGCTCGCCACTCCGGGCCCGCGCTGGCCCAAGAGGCCGCCCTCAGGGACCGTCGCTCGCTTCCGCATCGATTTTGAAAAATTCTCACGGCGTCCGAAGAGGCCAAATTTCACGTGATCTGCAACAATTCTCGCCCGCTCGCCCGCCAGCGTCGCTCGCCTCACCCCTGCCAGCATCCATCGCCGGGCGGCTCGCGATGCTGGCCTGGCGATACCGATGGCGCCACACAACATAGCCCTTTGACATCGCTCCTCTTCTCGAGCTGCCGCCCGCCAGCGTCGGTGTCTGGAGATCTCTGCGAGAGCGCTAGCTGCGAGCATCACTTCGAGGCGGTGCAAAGAGACATGACAGGGCCTGCTGCTGGTCGTTGGCGGTAAAGACACCGATGTCGGTGGGTACACGCACGTAGGCCATCCCTCTGGCCTTGAGCGGCGGTGCAACCCGCATTCGTTGTCCATCTGAACCGCCTTCGCAAGAGACGTGCCGAATCGCCGAGGTGCCGAGACGATGACGACGATGTCAGCGGCATCGGAGGCGATGATGGCGACGACGGCCTGCCAAGTTAAGGCGTGCGGTATTCGTCCGGCGCTGCCTCTCTGGGGGTGCTCGGATCGACGACGACCACGGTCGCACGACGTCGGCCCGGCCTGGCTTGGCCAAGCCATCGCGCCCGTCGTGGCCCGGCGCCATGCGAGCCGGACCCTGTACGAGTCGGCAAACATCGACCATGCTGCCAGGGCTCGACCACCTGCCCGCAGTCCGCTCGTCACGGTACGCCATCGTCAAGAGGGTGGTCGGTCGGCCGGTCCTGATCTGGTCTGGCCTGGCGAAGACAGGGCGCTTCCTCCTCGCGAGCGTATGCTGTCGATGCTGCTCCCTGGCTCCTGGAACGCTCCAGACGTTCTCACGGGGGGTCTCATCGCGGCGCTCGCGCATTCCAGCTACCGGTACCGGCACCGTCGTTATCGCGCCGTCGTCGTCGTGCTGAGCCCTGTGTTGTGTATCTCTCTCCACTCCACACGGCAGCGAGAGTTGCTCTGCAGATACGGTGGCGAAGCGATAAGCACCGCCGGGTCGACGGAGAGCCGTGGCGGTCTGCACGTTTCGAGGCATGGCAGGCCACAATCCCTCTGGCTGGGATCTGGCTCTTGTTGCGGTGGCGGCCTGTTATCGCCAGGCCAGGCATTTCGTGCGCCATGTCAAGTCGTCGCCGGCACTTGTCGAGGTGCTAGAGCAATAATGGGGCGCATGGCGGCGGATGGCGCCTGTCGCCGTCATGGCCGACCGATGTGCTCGGCCATCGGCGTGGCCGCCCAAGGTTTTGACGGCTTTTCCCCTCGGCCTGCCCCTCTTGCCCGTCGTCACCTATCGGCGCTTCTCCGCACTCGGCGGGCCTAGCCTTTGTCTGCCCCTCGTCTGCCCCTGCGCATCACACTGACTCCTATCTGGCACGGCGTCATGCCGAACCCCCCTGGTCCGATGCACAGCCGGGCGATATCAGAGCTCAAGACGGCCAACCTGGGCTCGAGATAACGAACGACCGAGCAAAGCAGGCATCCAACGAGCGCCATGGCGCCCGCCATCCCGACGACTCGCACGCCTACGCAGCCTAGCCTGACCGAGGGGGAACGGCTACCACCCCGGCGGTCTCAGCATGTCAAACGCGGGAGCAGGGCGGGTGGTAGCAGACGGGCAGGAGGGCGATGCGGGGAGAGGGCGGGCGGGCGACCAGTCGCCGGCGGCGGCCTCCCCGCCACCCGCGCGCGGGCTCACTTCTCAAACCACCAAGCCGACGCACGCTGCTTTGCATTTTGGGGGGCTGCCCGCCTGCCTGCCTGCTTGCCGTTCAGGGGCCAGCGAGGCCCAGGCACGCCATCGTGCCGGCTGGCCTGGCATCTCAGCATCATCTGACCTCGCTGCGTCGATTTGGGGCTGGATCGGGCCAGCGTCATCGCACGCAACATCCGCCCAGCCCGACGCACGCCAAATTGTTTTAGGCGTGCCCTGCACCCTGGGCCTGGCTTTGGCAGGCCTGGCCCAGCCGCCTGCCCTACGCCATCCCCCATCATCACCGCCGTGCCTTGCCAGCCCCCAGCATCCCAGCCTCGCCCTGCCTGCCTTCGCCCTTCACCCTTCACCCTCCGCCCATAGCCTCTCTCCGTCGACTGCCAGCATCAAATCGCTCTCGCCGCCCCCGCCGCCCTCGCCGCCCTCGCCTTATCCAACAAACATCGACCCGACGATCCACGGCTGGAACACGTCCGTATCCCCCTGTCCTGTCCTGTCCTGCCCTGCCCTGCTCTGCCACCATCACCAGCCACCACCACCAACTTCATCACCGCCGACGCCCTGCCACGACCCGTCGGTTATCTGGCTACGATCCCCCCTCTTGATCCTACCTCGCCTGCCCTTCACCTCTCCCTCCTCTTCCTCCCAATTCATCGACCCTCGACAAGCAGTGGGATGCATCAGTTCGCCGCCTCGTCGCATCGCACTACGCCGTATAGCTCGACTCGCGCCGTCAGTTCGTCGATACCCGACGAACCGGTCTCGCCTTGCATGGTTCATACGACTTCGCCCGTCTCTTTCCTGTAGACGCACCCGCCCCGTCGCACTCTCGCACGTCCAGACGACAACACCAGACCGCTCCACCGCTCACTTGCAGTAACAGCGCCTCGCGCCACGACGCCGTCGATCCTCCCTACGCCAGCAACCGTCGCCCTGTCTCTCGCGCGGCTTCGCCTCGCCTCGCCAGTCACACAGCAGCCACGAGTCTGCCATCTGCTCTGCCTTGAAAGGACCTTTGTTCCTGCGTACCTAGACAGCGCCGCACACGCGTCGCACCACTACGACACCTGGCTGCCGCTGCCAGCTCCTATTCGCACTCTCGCCAAACCAGCCGCCGCCCGCCCACCTCTGGACGAGCATTAGGATGGACAGCGACGCCCGCGATAGCTCTTGATCACATCGGAGCTCGTACCACGAAACCGACACCGACGATTTCCGCATCTCGCACCCTATCATCGCACCTGTATCTGCCCCCACCCCCTTGCATCGCATCATGATGAGCGCCTGCGAAACGAACGGTACCGCCGGCCTTCAGGCGGCGCCGTCGCTCGACGAGAGCACCGCAACATCCTCCACTCTCGAGCCGCCCGATAGTGACAGCAAGCTCTCCGCTGCGCTCGACAGGCTCGACCTCGGCGTCTCTCAAGCCGAGGACGCAAAGTCTCGGGCGGCCGGCCTCGCGCTGTGCTCGTCCAACTCGATGACCATTCAATGCCACCGCCCGGCCGATGCCAAGGCACACTACGGCTCCGGCTCGGGCATGGGCCACGTGTCGACCAGCTACGGCAGCCGCTTTGCGCGCCACCCGACGCTCCTCGCACCGGCATCCATGGAGAGCCACTCGTCGTTCGACACCTTCTGCAGCGTGCCTCCCAGCCCCAGCATGAGCGAAGGGCTGACGGACAGTCCGAGCAGCGTCTCAAGCATGAACAGTTTCCGCAGAGGCGACCTCGCCGACATCGAGGACCTCGACCTCGAGCCGGAGCTCGAGACCGTGAGCGAGTGCGATGAGGAGTCGAGCAGCCTTTGCTCGACCGACATCGTCTTAGATATGGACTCTGACTCGGAGCGGGCGAGCAACGGAGGCCTCGACAACGATCACGGCGCCGGCGCGAACCTCGGGCGCTCCGGAACGCTCAAGGCGCTCGCCTCTGGATCGCCGGCCTCGGACTATGCCCGCCGCAAGCGCAGCGAGTGGTACCTCAACAGCTACGCCAACAAGATCGCCGCCCGACGCCCGCGCAAGCCCAAGGCCAGCCGGGTGGCCGAGATCGTCGAGGAAGGCGGCGGAGACATCCGGACCACCGTCATGCCTCGCCCTTCCTTTGCTGGAGGCTCGGCGGACTGGTCGTGCGAGATGGCCGGTCCCCCCGCGCCTGCCCCGCGCAGCATCAGCCCTTCCGACACGGTGCCGAGCGTCCCCTCGCCGCTCTGCGTCTGCATCTCGGCCGACACGTCTCACGGCAGCGGCGAGGCTGGCGGATCCACTGCGATGGACGACAGCGTCGAGACCGTCAAGGCGCTCAAGCTCGACGGCGATGCCACAGGCAAGGACGGCACCTCGAGCGAGGCACGCGACAACTCGACGTTCCCGCAGCTGGACGACACCGCATCCGAGGCAGCCCCCCGACCGCCTTCGCCGTCGTCTCCGCCGAGAGGCGCACGCGCCCGTCGCGACTCGTCGCCTGCCCGGCTGCGGCCGTGCTTCCGACGACGTTCGTCGAACCAGTCCGCCGCCTCGACGCGCGAGTCGTCGTGCGACCGCGAGTCGGTGCGTGGCCGATCGGTGCGGTTCAGTCCGGCACCTCCGATGGAGATGCGCACGCACAGCCCCGTCGAGTACGACCGCAAAAGCTGCCCGATCAACAACAAGCTCAGCCCCGAGGACGTCGAGGAGCTCAGGACGATGAAGATGGAGATGGGCCTGCTCGAGGCCAAGTGGGCCGCCGACGCCGCCTGCAAGGCTCCACCGCCAGAGAGCCGCGCCGACACCAACGACGTCGACCGCGCGCTGAGCGATGCCGCCCACAATGCTGGCATCGCCGCACTGAGCGCCGCATCCCATCGCGGCTCGATCGGCGCGGCCGAGACCGGCCCGTCCGGGATGGCGCACATGACCACGGCGGCGCGCATCAGGCTGCAGAAGGAGCGCGAGCGCGAAAAGGAGCGGCAGAAGCAGCTGCCCAGGTTCAACCGGCCGGCGAGGTCGGCGCAGTACGATTGCGACTCGGTCCGGGCCAAGTTCGGCCAGGCACCGCCTCCTCCTCTGCCAGGGCTGCCTCAGCCAGCGAGCCGCTCCGCATCGCCCAGGAGCAGCTCCGCTCCCCCCATCTCGCGGACGCCAAGCGAGGAGAGGGCATTCCGATCGCTGCTCACCGAGCCTCCGACCCAGCTCGACAGGCGCACTTCGGTCATCCCCACGCTGACACAGACGGCGCCCTCGCCGCCGCCCTCGCCGCTCGACGTGGACCATGCCAACAAGGCTGGCAGAGACGCGTGGCGCCGCCCGAGCATTGGCGGGCCGACGACAGCTTCGCTGCGAGTCGGCGGCGCCGGTGCATCCACCGTTGAGTCGCGGGGACGTGCACCTGGTCCTGCCAGCTTGCCCGCGGCCACGTCGCGAGGCGGCACGGTGTCGTCGCCGTCGCCGTCGTCGCCGCTCCGCCCGGCAAACATGCCGAGCTCGTGGACGCCGCCCTCTTCGAGCCCTTCGCCGTCTCCCCCGTCGTTCCCAGGGCCCAGCTCGTATGGTGGCTACGACAGCCCGGTCTCGTGCGAGTTCTACGAGAGCGGCAGCGAGTACGACCTCGTCGGTTGATCACGCGCGCTGCCAGAGGATGCTACATCGACGTTCGGGCGACGCCTTGGCCCCTCTTGTCTCGTCGGGGCTTCACACCTTACAACGGCCCCGCGCCGCTTCCTACAAGCGCCCCTCCCTGCGGCTTTCCGTTTCGCCTTACCCTTCTTCCCTCGTCACCGGCTTTCCTTTCCCTTACATAGCATCGTTTCCGCCGCCTCTTCTCATCATAATCGCCTCGCCTCGCCTCGTCTTCAATGGCTCCCGCTTCAGGTCTGTACAATCGCATCGCGTTCCTCGTCTCAATCGTCTGTCGCTCCTGGCTTGCTTCTCGGGAGCGGTGCGTATGGCCAGGATGACGGAGAGAAACGGCCCAGCTGCGCGACAGGGCAAACAGGCTCAGCACTAGGCCTGCCAGGTGTGGCATGGGTGGCGTCGGGCGTACCGGAGCGGCCTTGGCTGTGGCTGGCTCTGGGCTGGCTGGCTGACCCACCTGCAGGCAGGCATCGGGTCCGATCCCTTGCTCGGTTGCGGTGGCGGCTGAGCTGACGAAATTTTTTCCCCCTCGGAGCGTGTCGAATTTTTCTTCAAGCCAGGCGGTGGACCAGAGGGGCGCGAGGGTCAGGGGTCTGATGCCTGGCCTTTCAAGGCAAGGGGCAACCAGCGAAAAACTCTCAACGGCCTGTCCGTCTGGCGCGCTCCTTTGTCGTGGAGCTGGCTGGCCTGCCAAACCGAGCCTGCGTCAAGGGCGCGCGCCCCCTTTGCTCTGGCAGGCCGGCCAACCCTGCCCTGCGCAGCGCAGCGCCCCGCTGGCCGACTGTCTGCCCGCGTGAGAGAGGCGACCTGGTGGCCTCTCTGACAGGCTCAGCGCCGCGCCAAACTTTGGCAGGCTGGGCCTGCTGGGCACGCTCGCTGGACGCGGCCTGCCTACTTTGGCCACTCGACGCCACCCCAGCTTCATCTTGCCTCCCCACCACATCCATCCCCCCCTCCTTTTCCCCCCCCCCATCATCCATCCTCCCCCTTTCATCATGACCTACGAAAACAACGCTCACCAGCAGCAGAACGGTGCTGGCGCCGCAGGTCTCGAGTCCAGGTTCGGTGAGTGATGACAATTTTCGGCGGCCCTGCTGCGGATCGTCCGCAGGGGCGACGACAATGTCGGTGTCGATGTGGTGGCGCTGTGAAAACGTTGTTGCTCACACTTTGCAATGCTTGTCCCTCTCCCTCCCTTGTAGCCAACATGTCCGTCCAGAACGGCGCCGCTGGCGGCCCGCCCCGCAAGGCATACGTGCCTCCTCACCTCCGCAGTGCTGGCGGCATGAACTCGAACGCGCCCGCCTTTAGCCCCAAGCCCCCCGTCAACGGTGGCGCCGCCGACGTTGCGCCGCCTCCGGCCGCGCCCGCCGCCTTCAACAGTGGCTTCAACCGCGGCCCTCCCCGCGGCGGCAGCGGCTGGGACACGCAGGGCGCTGGCGGCTACGGCGGCGGCCGCGGTGGCGGATACAGCTCCGGCCCCCGCAGCGATGGTTTCGGCACGTGGAAGGACGGCCAGCACATCATTGGCGCGCCCAACCCGCGCATTCAGAAGGAGCTCTTCGGCGAGGACGGCGACGGCTCTTATCAGAGCACCGGCATCAACTTTGACAAGTACGGCGACATCCCCGTCGAGGCCACCGGCCGCGACTGCCCGGAGCCCGTCACCGAGTTCACCAGCCCGCCGATTGACCCGCACCTGCTCGACAACATCAAGCTCGCCCGCTACACGCACCCCACGCCCGTCCAGAAGTACTCGATCCCCATTGTCGAGCTCGGCCGTGACCTCATGGGCTGTGCCCAGACCGGTTCCGGCAAGACGGGTGGTTTCCTGTTCCCCATCCTCTCGGCGCTCTTCACCCACGGCCCGCCGCCGCCGCCTCCGGAGGCTGCCCAGGGCGGCTTCGGCAGGAGGAAGGCCTTCCCCAGCACCCTCATCCTCGCCCCGACCCGTGAGCTCGTCTCGCAGATCCATGACGAGGCCCGCAAGTTCACCTACCGCTCCTGGGTCAAGCCCGCCGTCGTCTACGGCGGTGCCGACATCGGCTCCCAGCTGCGCCAGATCGAGCGTGGCTGCGACCTCCTCTCCGCCACCCCCGGCCGTCTCGTCGACCTGATGGAGCGAGGCCGCATCAGCCTCAGCAACGTCCGCTTCCTCGTCCTCGACGAGGCCGATCGCATGCTCGACATGGGTTTCGAGCCCCAAATCCGCCGGATTGTCGAGGGCGAGGATATGCCCGGCGTCATGGACCGCCAGACGCTCATGTTCTCGGCGACGTTCCCGCGCGACATCCAGCTTCTGGCCAAGGATTTCCTCAAGGAGTACGTCTTCCTCTCGGTCGGCCGTGTCGGCTCCACGTCGGAGAACATCACGCAGAAGATCGAGTACGTCGAGGACGAGGACAAGCGGTCGGTGCTGCTCGACGTGCTGGCGTCGATGCCGACGGGCGGTCTGACGCTCATCTTTGTCGAGACCAAGCGCATGGCCGACATGCTGAGCGACTTCCTGCTCCGCTCCAACATCGCCGCCACCTCGATCCACGGCGACCGCACCCAGCGCGAGCGCGAGCGCGCCCTCGAGCTGTTCCGTGGCGGACGCACGCCGATCATGGTCGCTACCGCCGTTGCCGCCCGTGGTCTCGACATCCCCAATGTCACCCACGTCGTCAACTACGACCTGCCCTCGGACGTCGACGACTACGTCCACCGTATCGGCCGAACGGGTCGTGCCGGTAACACCGGTCATGCCACCGCCTTCTTCAACCGCGGCAACAAGAACATCGTCCGCGACCTCCTCGAGCTGCTCAAGGAGGCCAACCAGGAGATCCCCACGTGGCTCGAGGCCGTCGCCCGCGAGAGCACCTTTGGCAGCGGAGGAGGACGTGGCGGCCGAGGACGCGGCCGCGGACGCGGAGGCTCGTCGTTCGGCAACCGTGACGCCCGCTCCGGAGGTAGCAGCTTCGGCGGCGGTGCCGGTCGCGGCGGCTTCGGCGGCGGCTTCGGTGGTGGCGGCGGAGGCTACGGCGGCGGAGGATACGGCGGCGGCTACGGTGGAGGCTTCGGCGCCCCTGCCCCCGCCGCTGGCGGATACGGCGGCCCCCCGCCCGCCTCGCAGGGCGGCAGCTACGGCGGCTCCAACGGCCCGTCGTGGTGGTAATTTCGCCTCGCCTCGGTGCCTCGTCGTTCGCACGAGTGGCAGCTTGCCCTTGTGCGCCGCCTCCTGACGACAGCCAAACGCTGTCGTACCGCTTTCGCCTCCGTCTCCGGCCTCCGATCCTCTCCAAGTTCCCTTCTCGGCACCGACACGTCTTTCACCGCCCGCCGGACCCTTGAGCTAAGCCCGCCGAGCCGGGCGGCTCGCCGCTAGGCGCCGCACACGAGCTTCCCGAACCCAATTGCAGCGGACATTTCACTTCCATCACCGGCCGACGGCCGCTTCTCTCTCTTCCCCTCCATACGCTTTCCTGGTCCCACAAGCAAGGCAACAAGCATCCAGCATGGTCCGGTCTCTACAAGCTTGATCCAGCATCGGGTGTCGACGACACCACCGAGTCATCGGCGGCCCGGGTTCCTGTCACGCAGAAGAAAAAGACTCTAGGCGATTTCGATCCCATCTTCCCGTTGGTCTCACAAGGTCTCGTCAACAACAAAATCGCAACCCACTAGAGAGTCTGTTTTTTCTTCCGGTCAAATTCCCCCTCATCAAGCTACAAGATACCACCATCCATGCAAAGTCTCGCGGGCGTGCTCCCCCCTTCCATGCATCTTTCCCAAGTCACCGTCGTTCGTGGGCTCGAGCGGCCGGCACATTCCGTCCCGGCTGGTCGTTTCAAGTCTGGCGAGCGCGAGAGCGCAACCCAACCCAAGGGCTGGCTGCGCCGACATCATCACGGCCTTTGACCGATCGAGCACGCGCCGCGCGATACCGTTGCGTTCCTCTCCCAAGTTTCCAGGACAGTGTTTTCCCCTTCATCCACCACATCAACGACGATACCCCCCCACCCTTCGACGGCGCGTCAAGTCTCGCGGGCTGCAACCCGACTCCAAAAGCCGAGGATGGGAAGGCGGGCAAGGGTGAAGAGAGGGTTGGGCAGCGATGCACCGCCATTCGGACGGTACCTCGACTCCTTCATTGGACCATCGAGGTGTTCGACGCATCGCGCGTCCGTCCCCTCTCCCTGCCCATCCCTCTCCCTCTGCCGCCCGCCACCACCTCCCGTCCCTCGCGCACCGCATTCGCGATCCTTGCCGTCCCCATCCCCCACCTCCCACACCACATCACACCCCCCTCGTCCTTTCCGGTGAAATGTTCGTGATAATCGATCCACGTCGAGTCGATCGCCAGCGCGAGTCGAGGTCGTCTCTGCCCCCCCTTCCGCGGCCTCGTCTTTCCTCACTCCGGCTGGCCCTCGTCGTGCCTCAACCCCCTGAATCGTGTGTAATCTAGCCGAGCCATGCTCTCCCCCCTCCTCTTCCCTCTTCGTCTGTACATACCGTTTCCAACCTCTTTCTCTCCGTGTGGCGTGCAAATCGACGTGCACACCCCCTCTCTCTGTGTGTGCACCTGTTCGATCGATCGAGCGAGCCACGGCGGCAGCCCACATGCAGGTGGTCCCGACGGTGTTTCGATGCATGGATGCGAAAACGCGCCCGCCCCGAGCTCAAGGGAAGATCTCGTGGGATGCACAGACGGAAAGGACGACGGGGACATGCTGAGTTGCGTGGGCTAGAAAGGGGACAGAAGGTGCTTGCTGAGGACGGGACGGAAAGTACTGCTCAAAGCGACCAAAAGGGGGAGACGAGGTCCGAAATGTGGGCTGGGCTGGCTGCCACGACCAACTGAGGCGCCCCGGGCAGACCGACAGGACGCCGCATTGCGATGCTGGCTGCCAGTGGACGACCCGAGCGGCGCGCGAGAGGTTGTTGGACTGGCGGCGAGACCGACTGTGCGATGTCGAGGCGTTCGATGGGTTGCTGCTGAGCTGGAGGACAGCGGGGGTATCTTGCGGGGAGAGAGGAAGGGTTACAGGCGATTGAGGACAAGAAAGGGCTGAAAGGGTAATCTGGGAATGGGGCCTAGTTGCCGGCGTGGTCTGCGCTCGTCGAGCTAGCGTCGGTGCGGCTCGAGGGCGGCATCGCGGCTCTCCCATCCGCGTGGCGATCGCGACATGCCCTCGCGTCGGACGCTGCTGCTGAGGTATTTGTCCTCCCTTCCGGCGGCGGGGCGAGGGTAGGTCGAGGGGGACCTGCGCTCGTATTGCCGCTGCTGGTGGTGCTCTTCCTCGCGGCTGATGAGAGCGCGGGGATCGCTGCGAAAGGTGGAAGGCTGAAGGTGGGTCGGAGGACGGGCGTGGACGTCTTCGTCGTCGGCATGGTAGCGCTGTCGCACCTCGTGGAGTGGGTTCAGCAGACTCGGGCGCGCGGCCGGGTGGCTGAGGGTATGAGCCCGTCCGCGGTTCTGCAGATGCGGTGGGGTGTGCGAGAGCGGGCCGTGCTGGCGCAGCGGTCCAGGGCCGGCGCCAAAGCCCGGCAACATCGCCGACTGGGGCGGAGGCGGAAGTTGGTGCTGCTGTTGCTGGTGCTGGTGCTGGTGCTGGTGCTGGTGCTGGTGCTGGTGCTGGTGGCTCGGGAGGTTCGAGGGCGAGTAGGCCCTCGTGTGCACGCGCATCGACGGTGGCGGGTACGGCGCAAAGTGCTGCGGTCCGCGTGGATCGGTCGAGTGGGGTCGCGGGCCGAAGCAGGCCGCCTCAGCCTGATAGGCGATCGGGTACGAGCCGGAGCCGGAGCGGTTTCTCAGGCCGTTGGCGAGGCTGAGCTCGGCGCGCAGCGCTTCCAGGCTCGCCTGCTTGTCGCTGGGAGACTCCTCCATCTCTAGCTTGACGTCTTCCGGATTCTTGCCGCTCGCCCGCGCTGCAGCCTCGGCCTCCTGCTGCTTGCGTCGGCTCTTCAGGGCGCGGAAGTGAGAGCATCAAGGGCATCACGGAGGCAAAGGGTTGGGTCAGGAGGAGATCGAGGGTCGGCGGGCCGCAACGTGCGCGGAGCCCATCTCGATGCTCACCAGCTTCGCGTAAAGGAGGCCGCAGGCATTGCAAAGGGTTCTCGGGCCCATAGGGCCCTTGCGCCACTCGGGCGTCTCCTTGGCCTGGCACCCGAGGCACTCTTGGTGGTGCTCGTTCTTCCGCTTTCGAACTCGACGCTGTAGGCGGATCGCAAGGTGTGGCAGAACAAAAAAAAAACGCCATGGTGTCAGTCGACTGTCGTGACGACACCATCGAGCCGACCAAGGAGCGACGCGAGCAATGCGGTGCTGCCAGGATCGTCACTCACCATGCCCTTGCCTGCGAGGCGGCGCCGATCCAAGAGTTCTAGCTGCTGCTGGTGTCGCTCGTCAGGAGGAAGCAGTGCGCCGTGCATGGCTGCCTGCGAGGCGGAAAAGGGATAGGCCGAGGGACCAGCCCGGTCGTGGATCGGCCTGCCGCCCTGTAGCAGCACTGAAGGCGCATCTTGAGCATTCACGGCGATGCTCAGCAGGTGAGAGCGGTCCTCGTGGCCGTAGGGAGGGCCTCGGATGGCCGTGGGCCCGGCCCTGAACGAGGACTCGACGCTGGCGAAACCCAGCGGAGGCGAATGCTGGCCGGCCGGTGAAGGGTTGGACGCCGTCCTGATCATCGACGGCCGGTGGTGCGGCATCGCATCGCTCGGTCCCTCGTGCAGCGCGGGCGCAGACCAGTACGGGTGCTCGAGATCGGAGCCTGTCCTCGCTGCCGGAGGTTGGGCCACCATGCCTCTCGGATCGCGGGACAGATATTGCTGCTGCGAATGCGGGGTCAAGGTCGACGCCGGACCTCGAGACTCGAGCTCGAAGCCAAGGTCAGCGGCGACGAGCTCAGCCCGGCTGGGGGAGAAGGACTGCAGCGTGTGGAGCTCGGCTCGGATGTGCTGGACGAGGAGCTCGTGATCGTGCCTGGCGTCCAGGTCCATGGGCAGCTGTTCTGCTGTCGTAGGCAGGTGGTGGCGTCGGTTGACGTCCTGGACGACCTTGAGCCCCGCGAATAGCCTCTCAAAGTCCGTCACCTGGTCCCGAGGTGGGGCGGGCTCCGCAAGGAGTCGTTCGCGGCCCACAAAGCCAGTCTGAGAAGCGCTGTAGTTCTGGTGCAGCATGGTATCGCTGCGCCGGATGCCGAGCGATGCCGCCGAGCCAGTGATGCTACGAGGCCGAGCATAGGGCGAGATCGACTTCGACGATGCACGTTGACCGCGATCCGGCCCGAGGTGGGAAGATGTGGCGGACCCCAACAGCCGGTCGTCGTCCAGGTCTTCCGAGGCAGATCCTCGCGAAGGAGGCTGCTCTCCATGGCTCGGCTGGCTGAGTTGTCGTGTCAAGGTTGGCTGAAGGCTGCCTGGAAGTCCCCGTTGCAGATCGTGCTGCTCGCTGGGTGCAAGGTGGGAGGACGAGGTCTGCTGCCGGATCGAGTAGTCTGCGGGGGCGTGCCGGGGGCGAGGATCTCTAAAGTGGTCCTGGACTGGGTCTGGTCCGGCCGAGCGCAGCCCCGAAGTGAGGGACGAGATCGGTGGCAATGTGATCTTGGCACCTGGGTTCGACAGCGACACCGACCGACCTCGGGCTGTCGCCCACGGCAGTTGTGGTGCGCCAGCCCCGCTTTCGACACGCCGAAGGCTCTCGTGACCGTCGCGGGTTGGGTTGGAGGGCGAATTGCCGCGAGATCCTTCATGTCGGTCGGCGTCCACCAGGAGGCCGCTTTGCATCGGCGCCTCGCTCCGTCCAAGACCCTGCTCATCGTGACGGTCAACCCTTGCCTTGTTCACCAATGCTGTCCTCAAAGACGACGCCTGGCCGTGGCCGTAGGCGGATCCGTGCATGTCATCATCGTCCCACGAGGAGCGACGCGCCGTCAGTGACTTGAAGGGTACCTCGTCGCGGCCGTAAGGCTCGGCAGCGAGCCGGTCATCGCCACGGCGCTGCGAGGTATATGTCGATACCATAGACACAGGGCTCTGTCGCAGGTCACTCGACGGACCGTCGCTTCGTCCGATGTCCGAGACAAGTGCTTCGGATGCCTTGTAAGGCAGGACACTGCCCGACTGCCTTGGGTCCGACAGCAAGAGCGGGTGCGGGCCGTAGCGGAAGCTGTGCGAGTTGCCGTACTCGAATGCAGGAGACCCGAAACTTCTTGCTTCGATGGTGGGTGTCATACAGACCGAGCGATTCAATTCCTTGCGGTCCGTCGGGGCATGGACGGCCGATGATCGGCGGTTTCGGATCAAAGGGTGGATGTGTGACCTGACCAGGTGTTTCCCGAGCTGAAGGTGGGCGGTTGAAGTCGACAAGACTCGAGCTACGAGGCTCGATGAAAGACGTTAGAGACTCGGCGGAATGGCCTCGACCTGCGGGGGACGACGACGACAAGAAGCATTTAGGGCGTCGGCATGTCAGAAAGGGCAGCCCCAATCGGCCGCACCTCGCGATCCTGACATCGACGACCTTGCGCTACTCACCAGGTGGTCAAGGGTTTGACGGCTCGACTTGTCTCGGACGCCTGTTGTCTATCCGCAGACGCGAGAGGAAGGAAGGTGGACGGGCAATGCAGGCGGCCGTGTATCTGCGTGGGGGATCCACTTTGACGTGCTGCGGGAGCTCAGTCCTAAAAGGGGTCAGGCGTTGCGTCGACGGGCCTCGAATCGAGAGAGAGGGCGAGAGGATACGACAGGAGCTTTGGTCTGGGAAGGGCTCGAGTGACGAAGAGGGCGGACGGAGTCGGCACGAGCTGTTGGTAGCTAGTAACGCAGCGAAAGAGCCGCTTCACAGCGTTCGAGGATGGTCTCTGCCGGAGTCGGGCTGGGATCGAAGGTGGACGATGTGTGTATAGCTGAGGAGCTGAATGTCAAGGACGCTCGTAGGAGGGGGCAGGCTCGATGAAAGCGACGGGTGCGGCTGCCGAAGTGATTGCGGAAGTGGGTCCCGAAGGAATGGTCGATGTTGACTGGTAAAAGAAGGGCAAAGTCCAACGATGGCTCCTTTGCGTCCGGGGGGAAGGCTGGCGATATGTGCGAGCAGGACGGCGATGGTGTAGAAAGGAGAAGGCGGCGGTCGACGGAGCTCGAAGCAGTTGATGGTGTCTCCGACGAGGGGCGGGGTAAGAGGCCAAGGAAGAGGTTAAAGGGGTCGATGAAGGCAAGGAAGGTGCGTGCGCGTGCTGTGGTTGATGGAAGGGAGAAGGCTGGTGACAAGGACGAGATGATGGGGAGAGGAGGACCCTGGCTCGAAACAAGAGGCGGCGGCGGCGGCGGCGGCGGCGGCGGCGGCAGCGGCAGCGGCAGCAGGACGAGGCTAGGACGAGGATGAGGGTGACGGTGACGGCGTCCTGGAAGCAGGCAGGTGCGATTCCGTGGCGCAGGCAGCAGCAGCGGCACCCTGGTATTTCAGAAGCATGCACAACCCCCTCGATCTACACCTGGGCCCAACGACGGCCACCGAGGCAGCGGCAGCAGCAGCAGCAGCAGCAGCAGCAGCACACAGAGGGGCAGGCGAGCCAAGGCGGCGACTACGATGGAACCTTGAGTAGGCACCTAGCGTAGGGGCAGCCAGCTGGATGGAGGTCTTCCGGCTGCCTGGTGTGTTGCGTTGGACCCTCATCGTCGGCCAAGGTAGGGCAAACCAGGCCAGCAGGTCAGGCCCAGCCAAGCCAAGCCAAGCCAGCCAACAAGGCAGCTGAAGCTCAGCTTGCTTGCTTCGCAACCAAAGCAGCAGCAGCCATAGGCAGGCAGGCCCCTCGTCGGTGCAGCGGCGTGGGCCCGCACCCTCCAAAAGCAGGCAGGCAGGCAGGCAGGCAGGCAGGCAGGCAGGCAGGCTTGTTTGGCCCCCGGCCCTCAGTCCTGGGTGGTTGCCTGAAGCCACCAGGTTCATAGCGAGGCGAGGTTGGCCAGGCAAGGCCAGGCAAGCAAGGCCGGGCAAGGCTAGGGTTCAGGTGAGTGAGCGTGAGAGCAAGCGCGGACGATCAAGCAAGCCCGCCCCCCCCCCCCCCCCCCATCCAGGAAAGCAGAGCCAGCCTACCTGCCTTGGTTTCCGGCTAGACCCCCGGAAGCGGGCCGAGCCGAACTTAAGGTTGGACCCGCCCACTCTCATCCACGAAGCGCAAGCAAGCAGACCACGGATCGACGGCCTTCCCTCGGCGGCGGCCAGCAACTCATATTGTGGCCCGCCTCGTCTTCCGCCCCTCGTCCTCATGCAGGGGGAGGGTGCCTGGCTCCTCGCTCGCTCCTCGTCGGCGTACTCTGCCCAGCCAGATGGTCGGGCGGCTCTCGGGCGGTGGCAGGACAAGCAAGCAAGCAGCGTTTGCTGCTGCTGCCTGAGCTGGACACCTTCCTCCTTCGTCGCCGCCCCCACCGCCATATCATGGCCTAGCCCAGCCTGCCCGAACAAGCTTTCGGCCGGTGTCATGGTTTGCCACCTGCACCGCGCATCAGCCAAAGCGCCCGCGCATGGACAAGAAGCCCGAACCGAGCCGGGCCCGCCACTCTGAAGTAGGTACGCTGGGAAAGAAGCGGGCGCGCTGAACGGCGAGCAGCTCTGCGCGAGCGAGTCGGTGGCCTTGAGAACGAGGCGGTCGTACCATGGATCCGAGCCCTGAGCCAGCTCTAGCTAGCAGCAACCGCTACGGTAGCAAGAGGCAATCCGCTGCCCGGTACTCCGTTCTGTGTACTAGACGGTGTGTCGTCTCTTGCGCTTGGCCTCGAAAGTGTGTAGTGCGTTTCGGGCCGCCTCCGAGGTTTCGACGACGTGCAGGCAAAGCAAGAGGTGTACAATATGGATCTGCACAGGGCCTACTTGCGCCGCCCCCGGGGTTAGTTACCAGTTGGGCGGCGCTTGTATCCCGATCAAACGGCTGACCGTAACGGAAGACCGCCAAGCTGGGCTGCGAGCGAGTCGGACCGAGCCAGCGCCGTCCCCATGTCCCCCTCACTCGTACACTGAACATCATCAGCCGACGCGGCCCCTGCTTGCACCTCTTTACAGAGCATGTTGAACATGACTCACGTTGGCACGTATTGACCATATCGATGTACAGGCCGGTGAGTATGATGATGAGCACAAGGACCCTGTTCAGCGCTGCACAGATCCCAATCAGGCTTGCAGCCAAGAAAGCCAGGGTGTAGGTACACACGCCGCTCCATCTGGTCGTGGTAAGAGCTGCGGTGGCGACAGCTGGTATGCGGGCGTCCCGACAAGCTCGCCCGCTTACATCGGGGGCGTTGTCAAGATTTTGCTCGATGTCGCCCGTTGTCCTGCCAGCTACCCCGCCTGCCTGCTTGCCTTGCCCGTCCGTCCGCCTCGATCCGAGCCGAGAGCCAACCAGTCAGGCCAGACGTACGTCGTCCTTGCTTGTCACCTCGCACGCATGTCGATGACCCCGCCGCACACGATCGCAGATGGAATTGGCCGAACTTGCCGTGAGCTGCTGTGCTGGAGGACAATGGGGCGCAACGATACGACGTCGCCCGATGTCCGCTGGGCTCAGACAGATCCGACGCGGGCGGCGGAGGGTCGCCTTCGCCGAACGACGCCTTTCGGATCGGACCCGTCTCCGCCCGAGGTTTGCAAACGAGAAAGGTCGGCCAATCCGACGGACAGGGTGGCCAGCGTGGCGTCAATCGGAGTCGGCCACCGAGTGGCCGGCAGGCTGAGATGACCGACGCGATCAGCGGCTTGACGTTGACCTGCCTTGCCTGCCTGCCTGCCTGCCTGCCTGCCTAGGAAGGACAAAGCACCTCAGGTCCGCCGGGCCCTTCCCGATGCAGGGGCGACAAAGCAAGGAAGGCTGGCTTCAGATCGAGTGAGGCGTGAGCAAGCAACAAGCAAGGGCAGGGGGCCTACGTACGAGGATGCGCGCATGAAGAGGAAGCAACAAGCGCAGGCTAAGGAAGGTGTAGGTGACCACGACAGCAGCCGCATGCTAGGGGCCGTGGGTGCGAGCGGCGGCTTTGCACCACCGCCGCCCGCTCCGCCCTTCCGCCCGCTCGCCCACGACGTACGACGGCGTGTACGACAACGACTGCGGCGACGACAACAACCACGGGAGCGGAGAACGAGCAACGGACCGGAGTCTGGGCGGACCAGACCAGGCCAGGGTTCGCCGCTGGGC